CTTCTCCCAGGAACCCAGGCTGAATGTCCAATCCACATTCCGCATAGTGTTATGTGGAACACATCTTCAGGTATTTTCATCCACCTGGAGTTCTAGGACAGTTGGCCTTGACTGGGTGTAAACAACTCCATTCAGTAGTGCAATAATACATGACAGCAAACCTCCTTTTTAGTTCACATGGACATTCATCACACCAGCTCACTTCCCAAACCCAAACATCATGCCCCCCCCTCCCGTTACTATGGCAGCCCATGCTGGAGATCCAGCTGAAAATCTATGTGTCAGGGCTCCAACAATCCACCTCCATTCAAACCATGAGTCTATAGCTGCATCTCTCAGAGTTAAAACAAATGATTTATCAGGAGTGAACATATCGGTGTTACCTGGGCGCAGCCAACTCTGAGACACATCATTCAACTCTCACCCTTGACCCTGGGTCTTCCCCCAACCCCTGGATGTATATTCTCCAATGGGACACATCCATAGCCAAGAGTCATCAATCATGCTCTCCAGTAATAATCTTGTGTGCCAGAAGCTTCGGCCGCCTAGCAATTATCTATGAAAATATTTAAGGTATGCATTACTCCCACACACATATTCCCTTTCTGCTGACAACTCTAAAAGACCAGAGAAATATTTTTGAGTTGACACTATGTCTTTCAATATGGCCTCTTGTCTCCAGAGACTGCTGGGGAAGTTCACCCAGATCTATGGAGTTTGTGGCCACTCTAGATTGGTGGCACTTGGCTCTCTATTATCCCTCTCATCTTTCCTATTACCTATTTCCTTATCTTCTTATGGCTATAACTTTGTTGCTTGTATCTTGTGATTTATGTTGATTGCCTTTATTCTAGTAGGATTTATGTTGATTGCTTTATTTTGTATCCTATGACTATCACTGAGTGTTGTACCTTATGATTTATGATGATTGTATCTTATGATTATGAATGGTAATAAATGGTCCAGGTCATATACGTTTTACAGTCCAAAGAATATCCAATTACAAAGTCTTCTTACCGGTTGCCTTTGTCATTTCCAGTAAACAAAAATATCAATGTATCACTTGTTTCTTGTATGTACACTGAGAGCTTATGCATCAGAGACAAAATCCTTGTATGTCCAATCACACTTGAACAGTAAAGAATTCTGTTCTAGAGCTGCCTCTCATCTAATGCCAAGGGAGCCATCAGTACCACTGAACTTGGCCTAATGTTACAAGTAGAGCCTGTTTGTTTATTTAAGACTGTTGCCTTAAAGTCCATTAAAACTCAGAACTCTATAAGATTTCATAGTCAAAGCTTCACTTTCTTCTTACTTTTATTTGCTGTAGTGGAGAGTTTATGGAGTGTTTGCTTCCTCTTGTGAGGTGCCCAAGCTTTTTTGTTAATTCTTTTGCAATATTGTACGTCCAATAACAATATAATTGGATGAAAAGTTATGTCAGGTTTGGGTATCCCTAGCCAAAATACAGAAGACTGACATACTATGCCTCTCCATCCAATTATACCATTAACAGGGACCTCTACATACAACAACACAAAATAAAGTTCCACAAATACAGTACAAACCAACATCTCTGAGGGAGATGGGTGGTTAAGAGATGTTACGATATGTACAGAATAACCCTTGAGTAACAAGGATATGCACATAGAAACGTTTAGGAGAATAGTTATGAATAATTATTCAGCCACACACAGATACACTAAATTGGGTTAAAGTTTACTTTAAGAAATAGCACTATAAACGGTCCAGGTCATATACGTTTTACAGTCCAAAGAATATCCAATTACAAAGTCTTCTTACCGGTTGCCTTTGTCATTTCCAATAAACAAAAATATCAATGTATAAGCACAGCATAAATACAACAGAGAACCTTTGAGAGCAACAGAATGTCAGAGAAACAGAATGTCAGAGAGACAGAATGTTAGAGAGAGAGAATGTCAGAGAGACAGAATGTCAGAGAGAGCAAGCTATGATCTCTAGCTCCCTCTTATGGTAATTTGCAATATAATCAACCAATCAGAATATAGTATAAATCAATACTATTGGTTGGTTTATATATTGCCAACCCAACTAATTGGTGGACAGATTCCTAACAAGAGATATGAAATATAAATAAATAAACCTCCCAATTGAACATGCTCTACATGGGCTACCATTGAAAATTATCCAGAAGCTTCAGCTGGAGCAAAATGAGGTTGCATGAGCCATGCTAGGTGCCCAAAGAGGGGCACAAATAACACCTTTGCTCTGTGAAGTAGACTGGGTGTGGGTGCCAGTTTGTTTCCTGGTCCAATTCATCATGTTGGCTATCACCTATAAAGGCCCACCTGTCATAGGGTTAGGATACCTATTGAACCAGCTTTGCCCCATCAGAGCAACCTTCCTACTTCTTCAGACAGAAAATGTATGCCATTGGCCCCATCACTCAAAGAATTTGAACCACAACTTTCAATTGTCTTCTGCCCCTTTATTGTGGAACGTCTTGTCCTCAGTGGCGAGGAAGTTCCTCAATCTCTTGGCCTCCCATGAAGGGATTAATTATAAAAGGATTCCTTGTGTACAGGAAGCAGAGGTGTGCAAACCAGTGTCTGCATTTCCTGCATCGGATGTGGAGAGCATATCTTTCTCCTTCTGTCCTAGCCACTTCTTACAGAGGCACAATTGGGAGCATTTTAACAAACTACATCACTGTTTGGTTTGGTGGCAGGAGTACCTCAGATAGAAAGTTCCTACAGAGAGTGGTAAGGACAGCCAAGATTACAGGAAGCTTGCTTCCTGTCATTCAGGATACTGCTTATAAGTGCTATGTGCTTAGAGTTCAAAGTGTCAACTCATAAAATATTTCTATGGTCATTTTAGAGTTGCCAACAGAAAGGGAGCGGGGGAAAGGGGCTTGAAAGAGCAGAGTGGCAGCTTGGAAATCGAAAGTGCATTCCATACATAGTTTTTCAGAGATAGTAACTAGGTGACTGAAGTTTCTGCTGTGCAAAAATCTAACTGGAGAACATGATTGATGACTCTTGGCTATGGATGTGTCTCACTGGAGAATATGAATTATAATTCACCCAGGGGGTGGGGGGAAACCAGTGTCAAGAGTGACAATGAATTATGTGTCTCAGAGCTGGCTACACCGAGGCAGTGGCAGACATGTTAATAAATCCTTTGAAGTTTTGGAAGTTTGGCTCGAGACTCATGATTTAATTGGGGTAACTGCCAGAATCCTGACACAAAGGATTGTTAGAGACCCCACACACCCACTTCACGGTCTGTTTCTATTGCTCCCCTCTGGGAGGAGGTTTCAAAGTATTTCTAGCAGGACTGCCCGACTCTGTAACAGCTTTATTCCCGATGCCATCCATCAGATAATCTCACAAGATCATTTTTCTCACCAAGTACATGAATACATCCAAATTAGACTGTGTTGTTCCTCTGTGTCATATAATATATATGGGTATTGCATAATTTTGTGTTTATTTTGTCATGTTTATGTAGTATATATTGGAGGTGGTGACGCTTTATGCAACAAAATTTCATTTGAATGTATGTTGATTAGTGTACATTCAAAGTGACAATAAAGTTATTCTAAGTCTAGGTATACAACCATGGGGTGGGCAGGCTCCATCACACAGAGAGAGAGAGAGAGAAACACACACACATACTTGTATTAACAATTGTTAATTTCCCATCTTGGAATTCTTCACCTTTTGAAATGTTTATAATACTCTTTATATAATTTTTAAACCTTTAGTCTTAATTTTTTTCTGGTTTTAAAGTTTAATGCAATTGATTATATTGTACACTGCCCAAAACCCCTCTATGAGGGAGGTGGGCAGTTAAGAGATATGAAAGATAAATAAATAAATAAACCTCTTTAGCCAAATAGTCTTTCGCACAGATTTTTTCCTTATGCACATTCTTAAACGAGGCTGTTATTTGGAAGAGGGAAGGGAGATGGCATCACTCTCACAACACTAAACCTGTTAGATGTGCCCCAGATGTTATCCCTGATAGCAAAACAAAGATTGTGGATCCCACTTCTGAATCAAATGCAGGATACCGAAAACTAATAACCACGGCTCTCTTCGGTTATTATTTATTCAGTGTGCACAGGAGGGATTTCTCTCCCAAAAATAGTTGGAGGAAATCTTACAGACAAAATGATGCATTATACATTTCAGGAAAAGGAAGACAAATTTATGATTATACATATGCCCATTTAATTAATTAAGCATAAATAGTCATAATTAGCAAGTATCTGGTTATTTTCCTGCCCATCTATAGTTACTATCTTCAAGAAAGAGATATAACCTAAATTTATTTATTTATTTATTTTATTTTGTCAAATGATTATAAGATAACAGATATAAGTATAAACATAGTTATGAATACATGAAATGGATACATATAAGAAAAATTAAAAGAAACAATAGGACAGGGACGGTAGGCATATTGGTGCGCTTCTGCATGCTCCCTACAGACCTCTTAGGAAAGGGGTGAGGTCAATAGTAGACAGTCTAAGGTTAAAGTTTTTGGGGTTTGGGGAAGAAACCACAGAGTCAGGTAGAGTATTCCAGACATTGACCACTCTGTTGCTGAAGTCGTATTTCCTGCAATCAAGTTTGGTGCGGTTTACCTTGAGTTTGCTCTTGTATTGTTATGGTTGAAGTGGAAGTATTCATTGACAGGTAGGACATTGCAATATATAATTTTATGTACTATACTTAGATCGGACCGAAGGCGGCGTAGTAAAAGGAAAGATGTAAGTTGGGTTGCTGTTTTGACAAAACATGAGAAAAGAGGGTTGCCCCATGCATTCCTATCATATTTCTAGCTTTTTAACTTAGCCTTCCAAGAATTTGTTTTATTCACAATCTTATCTTCCAGCTGACTTATTTATTTGAAACAAAACCATTGGCATCCTCATGTAAGGAGAACAGCTTGGATCATTTCCTAAGTTTGACCTGTTGGAACATATTGAGATTCAAAAATTTTCTGTGTCACATTTCTACCTTACTTCTGGTTGTAAGGTGCACCTTTGTATTCAGGTCTGGCCTCAGAATGATAATGTAGCACTTGGGGAAGAAGATGCAGCCCAGCAGCCCAGCATTGGAGGCCAAGATGGAGAAGACCTGCACAGCCACCATGTATTTCCCTTTGGTACTCAGGTAGGTGGGCACAAAAGTCACCCAGACACTGCAGAAGACCAGCATGCTGAAGGTGATCAGCTTGGCTTCATTGAAGGTCCCAGGCAGATTCCTGGCCAGGAAAGCCACTGTGAAGCAGATGGCAGCTAGGAAGGCCATGTAGCTAAGGGTGATGTAGAACATGACAACATAGCCTTCGTTGCATTGCAGGATGATCTCTCCACGCTGGGAGTAAAGGTCAGAGTCAGGGAATGGGGGAGAAATTCCCAGCCACATGGAGCAGATGATAATTTCAACAGCAGAACAAGAAAGGATGATGGAGTTGGCCAAGCTCTTACCCAACCATCTCTTCATTTGGTTTCCTGGCTTTGTGGCCAGAAAAGCCAGCACTACAGTGATTGTTTTGGCCAAAAGAGAAGAAATAGCAACTGAGAAGACAATGCTGAACACTGTTTGTCGGAGAAGACAGGTGGCTTTCCTTGGCTGACCAATGAAGAGAAAAGAAGACAAGAAGCAAAGCAGGAGGGAAACCAGGAAGATGTAAGAGAGATCTCGGTTGTTGGCTTTCACAACAGGAGTTTCTCGATATTTAAGAAATATGGCCAAAATAAAACCTGTTGTTAGGAACAAGAGTAGGGCAAAGGAGACTAGGATGATACCCAGATGTTCTTTATAAGACAGGAAAGTTATAACTTTTGGGATACATTGAACTCGGTCTTCATTTGGATATTTATCAGTTGGACACTTGGTGCATTTTTCTGTATCTGAAAAAAACAAAAAGCAATATTTTTAAAAAATTATGTACTTTTACCTTTGAAAGAAAACCATATTTTTGGACATCAGATGATACCAGGAGCATTTTCCATAATACATTTCTTAACATTTCCATAGGATTTCATTGACATCCCATGTTATCTGCAGAATCTTCATATGAACCCCTTAAAGGTAAATAATGAATCAGTTAATCTTTCTAGGTACACTTTCTGGGTTCTGCCAGATGGCATTTCTTAATATATTGGACTCAGAGGGTGCCTATCTTGTGGAATCTACCAAAGAAAACTAGTCCTGCATGGAATATATACTGGGAGCAGTTGTGATACTGGTGTATTGAGGTGCACCAATTAATGTCCATGCCATCTCATCATGGAGCAGGATTACGTTCTTAGTGATCCTCAAGGGGAGGCACATGTAGACAGTGTTACAATAATTCTTCCAGAAGGTAGATCTAAAACAATTCCTGAAGTTTCAAAGAACTCAGATGTTCCTAGAAAGGCAAATATGGAAGGAAACATCCAAACTAAAAAACATAAGAGATTTTTCTCCTCTCTGACAGAAGTAAAGTTTGGCTGGTCTGCCACACTCTCCTATCTTGATCCAGCTCCTACTTTGAGGTTTGTTTGTTTATTGTTTGCTATTCTTTTTCTTAGATAAGAAATTGTGCTATTTGAAAATAAACAAGAAAACAATTGAGCTTCAATGCTCAATTGACTTTTTATCATTGACTTTTATTAAAGTGCTCTGGCTACATCAAGTTTCACAAATCAATCCTTTTATGTGATGTCACTCACCTTCCTGAGTGGAGATGGTCCCCTTCGGACAAGGAATGCAGTCGTAGCAGCAAACTGGCTCTCCTTCTTGAGCCCGTTTGACAAACCCAAGATGACATTTTTCCACACATTTGGACTGAGGCAGAGACTAAGCAGAAAAACAAGGAATGCCAAGCAAACAAACAAAAAGAGTCAGGACTAACCATCCATGGAAAGATAGGCAATCTACTGAAATCTGTGGACCTTCTTAAAAGGAGCAGAAGTCCTACTGCTCTTTTGCAGTTGGGTTAAAGAGAGACATGGATAACTCTGGGCAGGTTTAGGCTGCTTGAAGCCATCACAGACCATGGACCTGCCCTTTCAGGGCGACACTAGAACACTGGGCCATATCTATCAAAATAAAATTCAATGTAGAGAAAAGTAAAGTCCCACACTTAAGTAAGAAAAACCAAAGGTACCCATATAGACTGGGTGAAACCAGGCTCAATAGTAGTAACTGTGAGAGGGATCTTGGAGTCTTAGTGGACAACCAGCTAAATATGAGCCAGCAGTGTGGAGCAGCAGCAGCCAAAAAAGCTAATGCAATCCTAAGTTGCATTAACAGAGGTATACAATCGAGATCAAATGAGGTACTAATATCACTCTATAAAGCCTTAGTAAGACCACATCCAGTTTTGGTCACCACATTATAAAAAAAGATGTTGAGACTCTAGAAAAAGTGCAGAGAAAAGCAACCAGGATGATTAGGGGACTGGAGACTAAAACATATGAAGAACGGTTACAGGAATTGGGCCTGGCTGACTAGTGAAGAGAAGGACCAAGGGAGACATGATAGTGGTCTTCCAATATTTGAGAGGCTGCCATGGAGAGGAAGGGGACAAGGTATTGTCTAAAGCACCTGTAGACAAGGAATAATGGATGGAAACTGAACAAGGAGAGATTTAACCTGGAAATAAGGAGAAACTTTCTGACAGGGAGAACAACCAACCCATGCAACAGCTTTGCCTTCAGGAGGTGTGGGAGCATCATCACTTGAGACTTTAAAGAAATGGTGTAGGGTCTCCCACTTGGGTGGGGATTGCACTAGATGACCTATAAGGTCCCTTCCAACTCTGATTATCTTACTTTCCCTAATCAGGACAAGATGAAGCTTATTTCTCACTAGGACCAACAGATCTCTAACCAGTCATGATTATATTTGATCTGAATTAACCCAAGCCTTAACTCAAGCATTAGTTATGTTAGGGATACAACACCCTAGCAGAACGTGCAACGGCAGTCTAGCAGAGAGTGTGTGTGAGATAAAGCATTGTTGTAGCTTTACACTTAGTAAGACAGATACACTGTGCAGTTAAATAGTTTTTATTCCAGCAAGAGTTATAGCATAGTCAAAAACAGTCCATATGTCATACACTAAGTTCAGACAGTCCGAGGGTTATTCAGTTTGCAAAGTCCAGTGTAGAAAATAGGTCGTTCAACTCACAAACAATCAGTCCAGTGATGTATCTCTTTTGCAGTCAGAGATATGAAGCAAAATCAAACCTTCATTTCTTCTCTCAGCAAACGCATGCAGTAATCACCATCAATCCTTCTCTGTCAGCATTCCAGTAAAAGCCGGCAAACAGTGAGCTCTCTTGCTCCCTCTTATGGCGATTTACAACCACACCCAAATACTTGGCTTACAGTTTAAAGTGACACACACATTTAAACTAACAAACATATATTATATTTAGCCAAACTAAGTTAGGTAACCAATGTTATCCCTAACAAGTTAGGTACCAGTTAGGCATACTATAGCCAGCACTGGTGGTTTCTCAACAGTTTGATGGAGATATTAAATTATAGAAGAACAACAAAAGAACAACAACAAAGATCTAAAGAACAGTCACAGAATATCCAATGATGGAGAAGACTGAATCAGTTTAAAAGAGTGTTCCTGTAGAAGATGACCAGGCTTAGCCCAAGAGAGGCGTCAAGGATGTCATTAGTCTCAAGTCCCTTCATGTTCACAAAAGATCTAAGTTCAGCCAACTTTGACTTCAACAGTCAATTTGTTTGACCATTATTAGTTCAGATTATTGTAGACTGTTAGCATGCAATAAATCTCTATTCATTTGAACTGCCTTGACTTCCAGTTTTTTTTGAGTTTGACGTTTCTATATTATAGCACCTGAAGGAGACTTTGTGAATAGTAGTGAACACTCAACCCCACCCCAGCACTGTAAGAAAACTATATATTTTCTATTCTGCATGCTCAACTCTTAGTGAAGGTCATCCACCTGGGTGGCCTACTAGCCTTAGCCTTCCTGAAAGAGTCCTAATCTTTAGAAAAGGAGAAAACACAGCAATATTTAACCTACCTTATTGAGCAAATTTAACTGTGACAGAGCATCTTGGTTAATAATAAGTCTTTGTCTTTCGAAACTCCCCAGATGCTCCAGGAAGCAATCCTTCTCAGGAAAAATCAGGAAGCCCACAATTGCCAGATCTGCTGCTACATCTCCATTTTGGTCCAAGTACAGTTTCTGCCATGAAATATTGCAAAACTCATTCTTTTCCAGGAATGGATGAAACTACAATGGAAACATGCAGGAATTTTACAAGTAGAAACCTCGATTTCTTGCCCCACATGGTCTGTTTACATATGAATCTTTCTTTCAGAGTCTGTCTTGCAAATATGTTTAATTCTGTGAAAAAGTATTACCACTGCCTTCATAAGGAAATACAACAGTTTCAGCAAAATTTGCCAGTCAGATATTGCCAATTTATATCTTGAAAAGCTATAATTGACATATTTGGTCAATTATAGAGAACATTGCTTCTTCCTCTCTTATCTAATCATCCCTAGGCAGCATCACTTGGCTTGGTCCCAAAAGCCATTCTCATATATCATTAAAAGGTAAAGGTTTCCCTTGCACATACACACTAGTTGTTTCTGGCTCTAGGGGGTGGTGCTCATCTCCGTTACAAAGCCGAAGAGCCAGCGCTGTCCGAAAATGTCTCCGTGGTCATGTGGACGGCATGACTAAATGCTGAAGGTGCATGGAACGCTGTTAGCTGCCCACCAAAGTGGTCCCTATTTTTCTACTTACATTTTTTACATGCTTTTGAACTGCTAGGTTGGCAGAAGCTGGGACAAGTAACGGGAGCTCACTCCATTATGTGGTGCTAGGGATTCGAACAGCCAAACTGCTGACCTTTCTGGTCAACAAGCTCAGCATCTTAGTCACTGAGCCACAAATCATTACACTTCCTAAATAGATTATGGGAATGCTGGTGATATAACTTGATTTCAGCAAAGTATTGACAAACCATTTTGTATAATGAAGATTAGGAAGCTAATTAAGTAAATATTGGGAGGTATGATAACTAAGGGGATAAAACTGACTAAAAAAGTGCAGTCAAATAATGTATAATCTTTTAAAATGTTTCTCATAAAAGTATGCAATTATGAATGCCAATATGTGCTTGGGCATCCATTTTTTGATATTCATTTTAATACAGTGGATTTTTCTTTGAAAAATTATCCTCCAAGCAATTACATTGGCCAGATCTGTGGGACTTTGGTAGCATAGCTAGATTGAGATGGTTCCCATCCTTCTCCTTTAGGTTCCTTCTCAAAAGGAACTAAAAATAATGGATCCATGTCAGAACCCCATACCTGCCATGGCTGCAGCCTTATAGACCCCAGTCTCTCTTTGGCCTCTTCCCTTCTCTTCCTGGATCTGGATAAATATGCAGCATTCAAGGCATGGACCAGAGTCTTAACGAAACTATAATAATGTTCTGAATTTGTGATTTGGATGCTGTTCTTTTTCTCTTGGCTCTCCAGTGGCACTTTCTGGGTGCATCTCTTCCGTCCTTTGACAGAAGAGATGTGCTTTGAAAAAAAACAGCGAAAAGACTGATCTTCAAACTTGGCATCTAGATAGAAATAGGGTTCAAAGGCATCATCATTTGGTCTTTCTTTTTTCAAGTAAACGAAGTTCCAAAGGCTATGGATGTATTTGAGAAGTCTGTGCTTTTCTTTAATATGAATTCCCAAACTTGTGGTGATCCAGATTTTGCCTTCTATGGGTCCTGGCAAACGCATAAGCGTAAAATGGAAAGGAAGAATTCGGTCCAAAAGGAAATCATATTCTATGAAATGAACAAAGATGTTGACTTGTTTCCACTTAGAGAGGGCATCCT